GCCCTCAGGCGGGGCCGCATGCTGGAGCATGGCTCGCCGCTATACCCTGCGAAAGCATGCGAAAGCACCACCACCCTCCCGCCGCAAGCGATGCAAGTCGCTTTGAGGCGTTGCTTGCGCTTGGCACTGCCGCTCTGTGCGAGTCGCTGTGGCCCCAACCCAGGGTGTGGTGAAATGGTGGACGCCCTAGGCGACCATGCCTTAGCATGCCCCAGGACGGGCCTGCTGGCCAGACGTGCCAAGATTGTCGAGCGGGCCTGGATACGTGTCGCCCGCGAGGCCGTGGGTGCCGAAGGACAGGTCGTGCCGCAACAATGGCTCGCTCACACGACCGCCCCACAAGTCCCCTCGGACGACCGCCGGCGCCTCGACCTCATTGTCTATGGTGCCACTGCCCACGGAGGCGCGCTCTGCTGTGATGCGACCCTCGTGTCCCCTCTTACACGCACGGATCACCCCTGCACAGTCGAGGTTGATGCGGCGATGTTGAAGGTCGCCGAGCGCCGCGAAAGGTCCACCTATCCTGAGCTTGCATGGGGTCCACAGAGACTGTTGGTCCTCGGCTCGGAGATGGGCGGACGGTGGAATGAGGGGTCGCAGCGGTTTGTGCCCGACCTCGTCCGCCTACGGGCTCTCCGCGCACCCCCCGCAGTGCGGAGCGCGGCGGCCGCCGGCCGGGCGAGACGCTGGTGGGGCGCTCTTTCAGGCTCTTTCCGTGGCGATCCAGCTCGCCGTCGCCAGTACTGGGCTTGGCCGCCCCTGGCCAGCTGCTCCACAGCGTGTCCTCGACCTTGCGACAAACGTCGTTGGTTGTAGAGCCGACTCAACCGTGCAGGCATAAAAGTCCGTGAAAAAAAAAACCTTAACGCACACAGCGCGGTACGTCCCGGCGGCACTGCGCGCCCGTGCCCGCACGAACAAGCGGATGAAGGCGGCAGCTTCGGCACTCCAGCGACCACCGACTTCAAGACCGAGGACGACCAGGCGGCAGACGGGCGTCGGCGAACTGATTGGAACGGCCGAGAGGCCTCGTCGAACATCGGGCGTATGCCCTGCACGCCCTCCAGGATGTGAGTCGGCACGTCAGCCGCGCCACGCCAGGCTGCTACAAGTAGCAGCGAACGCATGCTGCAGTTATTGCAGGTGGTCCAGGAGCGTAGCCACATTTTTGCTCGAATGTTTGGTTCCCGGTTTGGTCAATGCATGCCCGCCTCGACCTGCTGATAGGCAGAGTGTTGAACTCATCCGGTCCATTTTACAAACTTTCGGACTGATCATCTGTAACCCAACGTGCCCACCCATAGGCGTGGAGCAGCTCTTGACCTTGTTTTTGCTAGTCCGGGCCTGGTCCAATCCGTTGAGGTCCACGATAGGGCAACATGCCATTGTGTTGACCGCAGAATTTGTTGCCCACAATTAGGTACTGATCACTTTGCGCTGACCGTGACGCTGCGATTCAATGTAGTTTCCGCTGTGCCGTCACCAACATTGCAAATTCGCAGTTGGCCAACGTTGCTGCAATCACAATTTCACGAGGTTCAACATTGGGTTCAACAGGTTAATGAGGTCAACAGCATTGCGCACAGCTTCACCAAGGCAGAGCTTGACATGCTGTACAGTTCATTTTTGGTCATCATTTGGAAGGGGTGACGAAAGCTTGTACAAGCATCGCACGGATCAGCCCAAGCGGCAGCAACCAGATTGGTGGAATGATGTCTGCATGGACATGCTTCTCGCTCGCAATTCCGCGTGGCGTGAACGTAGGCGCAATCCGACGCCGGATACCGCTGCAGCTTTTCGTAAAGCCAGAAACAAATTTCATCGTGTTGTTCAACTTGCCAAGCACAATTACTGGTCATCTTGGTTGGATTACATTAATAAATGCCATTTTTGGTTTGCCCTCGAAGTGCCGCAAGAGCTGTGCGGCGACGATTTCGTCGAAACAAAGCTCGAATTGCGCCACGCTTGTGCCCTAACCCAACTGCGCCTCAAAATGAACAAAATTATTGTCTTGCTGCGTGGCGTAATCATTTTGTCCGCGCCGGTTCTCAAGGGGTTGACACATTCAATCCGCGGCACTTCGCAGGTATCAAGCGCCGCATCCGGCGTATTCGTGAGCAACCTTCCGTGCATATCAACAGCGGGCAACCTTTCACTCTGCTTGCACTGGAGCAAGCACTGCACCACTGTTCCACAAGCAAAGCACCGGGTGTCGATAACATTCCTTATGAAGCACTCTGCGTTGATTTGCCCTGGTGGCGGCATGCCATCCTTCAATTTTTTGACCTGTGCCGAAGTCTCTGCATCCCATCCGTGTGGAAGCACGGAATTGTTGTTCCGTTGCCTAAAAGCTACTGCCTCCGCCGATCGTGATGGTTATCATCCCATCACTCTGACATGTTGCTTTGCAATCATCCTGGAGCGTCTTATTCTAAATAGGATCAAACCGGATGTGGACCCTATGTTTGACGAAAGCCAAGCAGGATTTCGTTTTGGATCTGATGTGCAAGTGTATGGCTTACTTGAAACGCTTCATATCCGGCGAAATGCCACCACATTCTGTGCTGTCCTAGACATACGGAAAACGTTTGACGTTGCATGGAAAGATGGGGCATTGTTACGCTTACACCGTGCCGGAATCCAAGATGGGTTATGGCACTTGATTGATGACCTCATTTCCGATCGGACGGCATCAGCGCGCATTCAATCAACTATGTCAGATGATTGGGATGTTGAACATGGTATTGGCCAAGGTGCGGTTCGAAGTGGTTTCTTGTTTAACATCTTGATTAATGGCCTAGCCGCGACCATTAAACGTGCCTGCCATGGTGCGACTTGCACTGCAGATCATGACAGCAACAATTTTTTCCGTTCAAGTTTTACTCTATGCCGATGACATTGTAATCTTGAGTAGCTGCCCTCATGATCTCCAACGAGCGTTGTTGCAGCAGACGCGTGGGCCAAATCTTGGCGCTTCAAATTCGGTGTTGGTGCACAGAGAACCGCCGTCATGCATTTCGGTCCTGGCCGTCGACGTGATGCCGGGATGCATTTCCACTTGGGTACCCAAAATGTGCCGTTGCTGCAAACCTACACCTACTTAGGGGTTGTTTTGCAACAAAATTTAAGTTGGAAGAGGCATGTCGATCAGTTATTAGCACGTGGCGAAAGCCGATTTGCAGCATGCCTTTCCTGGACAGCAACTTCATCGGAACATCTGCCCGTCTGTTTTACTGAATGCATTTTCCAAAACTATGTTGCTTCGTCAGCTTGCTTCGGCATAGAATTTATTCATACAGACATGCAGCTCCGACGCATGGATGTCCGCATGTACCAATGGGGCAAACGGCTGCTCCTGTGGCCCCGCGGGGCCCCTACTGTAGCTGTTCAAGGTGAATTAGGTTGGTTGGGTGTTCACTGTATTCGACTCCTACGGCTTGCCAGTCTTTGGGCTCGTTTTATTCGCTTGTCCGGCAAATGTTTGGTTGGCCGAATAGCTGATTTTGCGAAAAATGTGCAATCCTCCTTCATCTATGCCGCAGCAAATGAACTCGTGTGTATGGGTGTAGCTCATCCGGCCACTTGGGGGATTGGACCGCGTACGGCTTCATCGGTTGGTAAGCGTTGGTTACGGCATGTGAAAACGGTGGCTTGCCAGCATTCGCATGCAATGTACTCGGCGACGCTGCGTGCTACGGAGTCGCTCGCCTTGTATGCTGAGTTGCAGCCGTGGCCACACCTACACCACATAGTTTACAGCCGGCACCTTTCCCCTGTCTCCTCGCGGTTATGGGGACTAGCTCGGTGTGGGCATCATTGTTTCAGCGATGGTCGCGCAGCGCGTCATTCCAATACGGGATCCGTGCCATGCCGGTATTGTGCATGTGGGCCCCACATGGCGGCGTTTAATCTATTCTTCCGAACAGCACGTCAAACACTTCCGCACCACCGTAAGCTTGCGCTCAACCCCGAGTTGGCCCGCGGCGGACGCCATTGTTGTCAATCATGTGCCCCAATCGTGGCTGCAATCAGGGGATTCGGGAGCCCGCATTCGCAGCAACAGTCCAATGCCTCGTATAGTGTCAACGCTCGCGCCGTGCCCTTGCCGCGCTGCGCATCGGCTGTGGACGGGGATTCAGCTACCCCCGTCGAGAAGACGAACCTTTGTGGTCGATGTCGAACCCTTTGCCACAAAACGAGCCCCCCCCCCCCAAAAAAAAAAACTATTTGAGCTGAGTTTACACCGCACATCAGGTCATTCAACGGCACATTATTTTGAACAGTCCATTGCATGTCGCAGCTGGTACTGTATGCTTGGGCAGTTTTTTTTTTTCCTTTTCCTACCTTTTGTTTGTCTCGATTCTCGTTCGGTGCAGATTTCTTTCTAGCTTGAGGATTTGTGAAGAAGAGTGCAGGCTCGACGTCGGCAAGGCCCGTCATCTTAGCGTATCTTTTGAACTTGTGATGCACGTTCATTAGCATGTGGCTGCCTTTGCAAATGTTTGTCAATTCTCTACAGGCCGTTGCGTTCAAAGCTTGTCACGAACGCAGCCACTTGCAATCATAAGCCATGAATCTGGAATCTGCTTAGTTCCAAAGCCCGTTGACCTACATTGACCGAATTGCAAAGCAAGTCCTCGCCAGCCCGGATCGAGATTTGACACGCTTAGTAATTCCCGGCCTTTGATACATATTTTGAGTTTGCCCAAATTCAAGCGACTGTGAATTCATCCATTGCCTGCATGCCACATGGAAGTCCGCGTGGTGTGTGCAGCTGATGCCGGGACCTGGGCGCAACCATTGCCAGGAAGCACTGTGTGTTGCATCACCACTTTCCCGCGTGAGCATCGCGATGTATGAAGATTGCATGAAGTATCGAGCCATCCATGCCGGAGGCTTAAATCATGCATTCTAGGTACATGTTCTGTTTGCTGCCGTTGTGCTTTGAAGAGTAGGACACGGGCCGCACCGCAGTGAGCGGAAGCCATGACCACAAAGCCATGCCGCAACCACGAAGGCGCGAACTTGCAGTGGGCAAGACCATATCCATCCGAATCGAACTGGATGAGGTTGTTGAAATTTGGCGTGGTGGAGATTGGCAGGCTTTGACTCCATCCGAAAGCCTGGACATCATCAGGAAAAGAGATGCTTGCATTCGTTCTTTCAACCTGTACTACAATGGTGGAAGCTATGCCATCGACTTGGAAGCCATGACCCGGACAGACAGGGAAAAGGGTCGAGTCCGATCGATACGCTTCACTCTCGTGGAAACAATGCAGGAATCAGGTATGTGGGATCTGGACAAATGTAAAGAGAGTTTCTGCCACATGGCTACCGCGGTTGAAGATTCCCAGCAAATCCTTACCGAAGACGACCTATTGCGTAGTTGGCCAGGGGCGGTTGTGGACGACGAGTTGTTGAGTGAAACCGTTCGTGAAGCACCTTGTTTGCACATTCAGTTTTAGCTGGTTCATTGTGTGCTTGTCGCAGCCTTTCGGTTGCGAAACCAATGTTCCCACAGACAGCAGTGTGCCACGCACTCCTGTGTGTGCTCAAGCTCGGAGGTCATGCGGTCGGCTTCCTTGCGACACCACCCAGGCATCTGCAAAGAGGAATGGCTGCACTATTGGGCACTCCAAATGGAGGAGCCTTCCTCGTCCTTAGTTGCGGAGTTGAATGACCGCTTGCGTGTGGCCATACAATATGATCCGAAGGCCCGGCCTTGAAGACGATGTCATAAGGAGAAAAGCAAGTCATAAGGCAATGTTTTGCATGTTCTTGCAGCACATGATGCAGGACAGGACCCTCGTACTTGTGTCGCAATGTCGGATGTGCATAAGATTGCAGCTTGAGGCATATAGAAGCCACGTGGGCTTCTTTCATCCTTGAATGTTATTGTCCCTGGGGCACGTGCTTTCCATAGTCCCCAATGTGTTCGATCTGTTGCTTAGGCTAGTTTGTATTGCTCACATATACCGAGGCAGGAATATTTGAGGCCTGAAAAGAAAATCGCACATGACGGGCCGCGATCCGCGTGCTCCTGCGTGAGCACACCGCGTAGCCGGAAGGCAAGCTAAGGCAACACAACAGGTACGGTTACTTGCCGTCGACTGATCCGCCAATCTGAATCGCAAGTTCTGCTGTTTTTTAAGAGCCACGAAAGCTCTCCTATAGAGGTTCGAGGCACTCACCTGCTGCGACATTTTCCCGTCCAACGTATGTCAAACTCAACGTTCTATGGCCTGGGCCTGGAGCTTCATGCTCCGTTGTAAGGCGATGAGTTGTTGATATTGCCACTTGTACATCCGGACCGTAGACTCTTGTTTCAGGACTCTTGCTTGCTTGCTTGCTTGCTTGCTTGCTTGCTTGCTTGCAGACTTCCCCAAAACATGTTCTAACTCAACGCTGGAACACGTTTGGCGGCTTTCATGGGCAAATGGTTCCGAGGCTTCTTCCCCAGGTCTGCGCAGGTCTACCGCGCCGACCGGCGCATGCTCCAATGAGGATGAAGCCAATCCAAGTCACCAAATCAAAGTCCTTTGTTGCAGAAACTGGAGACTGGCGATGCTTGCGCTGAGTTTGTCTTTGTGCGTGTTCTCAGCTTCAACTGCGTTTGTTCGACGTTTTCGGGCGTGCTTTTCCTGTTGGAAATTGATTTGCAGACTGCGGCTCGCATTTCCTGTTCTACATGTGCGAGACTGGTGTGCAGGTTCTGCCAGCACAGTTTTGCGTTGCCGTTCGCAGGTTCTGGAAAGAATGCAAGCAATATTCGAAGCTTTTGGAGCGGTGGTACCTGGTGCCACCAATCGTTTGGTGCTGCCACTGGATGGTTTGATAGAGGCAGCACTGCGCTTCGCTTTGCCAGCGTCTGTTCGCATTTGTCTGGCTGAAAGGTATTGCCAAGGCATGTGTAGAGAAATCCACACTGTGTGCAGTTGGCGTCTCCAGGCGTAGGGTCGAAGCCCGACTTTGTCACTGCCACTGAACATCTGCAACCTGCCGGCCAGGCATGCCATGCTATGGAAGAGTTCCCTGACCAAGTGATGGAGAAGTATTGGGCGCAGGACATCTTGCGCCGGCACGCGCAAGGCACTTGGTATAATGGAATCATGTGATGTTTTCCTGAAGCAGTCAGCAAAAGCTTAGGCGCGGGTAATGTGATGAGCACCAAGCCCTTAAACATTGCTGGACCGGCCGGACCCATCTTAGTTGGCACATAGCCGTTAGATTCAAATAGGTTAGCATGCGTTTGGAATTTGTGTGTTTATATCGAACCACGTTCCTTGCATTGTGGGTGTTGAGGGGATTGGAGATCATACAGGTAGCATCTGGCCAGGCGGCTCACAGGGAATTCTACGGTTTAAGTATTTTGGCAGACTCCGTCGGGTGATTGCACCATGTAGGAGCGAGTGCGTAATCATACTGATTGTCGCAAGTGCGACCTGTTCGTTTCGGAGGTCAGCTGGCCTTAGAAGAGGACGATGAGTTGACCTACCACGATTTCTTAAGCGTCATGTTGGGCCGCAGAAGGCAAAAAGTGTATTTGTTGCAACTTGGCGGAGGGAGGGAAACCGCCAGCTGCCCAAGCGAGTCGGCATGAACGAGCTGCAGTAAGCATCCGTCTTTCAGCATCTCATGCTCAGGATGTACGACATCACGGATGGTAGGGCGCACTCTTGGTTGTGGCTTTTGGGGCCACAGTTCCGTGCCTTCTGGCACACTGGCGTCATGGTCGAGTTTGCCGAGAAGCCTTCCGAGTTTTGGTATGGGGGGAAGGTGTTCTGTTCAACTCCATGTACCACGCCCTTTGGTCAGCCAATCGAAAAGCGCTTCATGGGCCAATCGGCGGAAAATGTCTGCCTGTTTCGTAGCCTCGGCCATGCACTAGTTTTTGTATACATGTGAAGCAGGGTCCGCTTGCCATGCGAGGTCACACATACAAGAGCCGGGAGGAGGTGATCCATCACATTGGAATTGACCTAGCACATGAATTCCACAAGAACGCTTATGATGCCTTGACTCACAATTGCAATCATTTTAGCTGCCCGGCTGCCCAGGTATTCGGCATGTTGCAGTTCTACATGCGTAGGCTTAAACGAGGTTGGATTTTGGTTCGGCACAGTGACCTGGGAACAGCAGCAACTACGTGTAATTAGATTATTATCGTCAGTGCCAGACCGCAGGCGACAAGCTAATGATGTATTTGACCAACGAGCACTTACCGGAAGAGATTCTCAAGCAGCCGGAGCTTGTCCTGAATTCGCCCGCCGTTCAGCTCGCACGACCTTTCCTGAACAGGCCCACCGCTAATTCCAAAGCTGAGCTTCACAGTCGGATGAAATTTTATTGTGCTTCCGGGCTTCTGTCAGAGCTGAGACCAAGATTTCCAGACGTCTGAGGCCAACCCCTAACGAAGAAACGCGAAGAACCTCCAAACGGGTGCACCATGGTGCACTTATCTAAGGCAAACCGAACACCGAAACACAAACCCTAATTGTTGTTTTTCATGCTCGGGCCTCTAAGCACACCCTTGGCTCGCAAAGGTCCGGAAACAGTGTCGGCGCCGTTTCAGACCCTAGCCTGAGACCATTCCAGACCGTATTCACCTTGCAGCATGTTGTACACTTGCAAGCAGTAATTATAACAGTTGTGCTTTGCAGTGTGCGCATGAGGTGTGTTATATGAGGCTCGCGGTAGTACTTTCAACATACTGTGCGCAGAATTTGTTGAAATTTGTTACCAAGCACTTCCTGTCGATATTGTGAAACCTCACTTCTGTGAGCATTCTGCACACGCACTGGCTGAAAGCCTCACGCACGGCATGTTAATCCGGCTAGGGACCTGGATGCAAAAGTTGTGTTTTCCGGCCGACGTAACATGCAGAACACGACTGTCTAACATGGGGGCTGCAAGGGTCCGGCAACCCACGACAACAGACCCTGAAAAAGGTCATAGTCTGCTCTTCAACTGCAGTGTCTCTAAACTGCAGGGGCCACCATGCCCGACGGGCAGAGGTTTGCTCTACCCTTCCAGATGTGACGGCTCTAGTCCCATGCTCAACCTAGCTTTCAATCAACAGAGACAGTGCAGACATGATTCTAGGGGTTGTCGTGGACATATTCGGCTTGAATTGCGTGCGCCCCAAAACTTGCATTTTCTTGCGGTTGAACATGGCACATGGCAGGAAAAAAGGATGGAGCAACCGTAGGTGCTGCAACTTGCTGTATTCCTGCTAGCAGCTCGCTCGCAGGTGGCTCGGCGAATTCCATGCGAAGGGCGAAGTCGCAAACGAACAACCTGTGGAGGTGATCCAGGCGCGATCTTTTGTCGAGATTGTTCAACTACAGACGGCCATCGAAGCTTTATGTCTGCTCTGAAACCACGATCGGGGTCTAACAGTCTGGCCCTCATCTGCTTGACACACCCCCTGAAGAACGCGCAGAGGCAGATCTGGGGCCGTCGGCCCTGGTCTCTTTCAGCCGCCGCGAGGGTGGCCTTGGCTTGATCGGTTCCCTGGCATTGATCCTGGGCCTGAGCCTCCCCCGCAACCCCAACTCCCGGAGCGATGCCGCCTTCTTTGTCTCCAACCCTGCCCTGAGTGGTGGTGCCTGCGGGGTTGTTTTGGGTTTTGCTTGTCGTGCTTTGTTTCACCGACGGGAGTTGACATTTAAAGTAGGTACGGTGGCAACATGTTACACCAGAGTAAATATTGCCAATCTTGGTCAATCTTGCTTGGCCACTGGCAATCTTGGTCGTCTTGCCCCACTTGCTCGACTAGTTCACTTTTAACAAACTGGCAAGTGGGGCAAGATTGCAAGATTGCTTGGCAATCTTGCTCAAATAATTGTACCGCATTCCCGGCACACTGCACGAGTAGTATTGTCAGTCCTGCTGTGATCATTAATGCACCGGCAACCGTATCCACAGCTTGCCCACGACAAATGCATCGACAGTCACGCGGATCGAGACTTCGTGCCAGTGAAGACCTGATCCTCCGAAAACGCCGGCTACAGACAGCCTTGCAGCCTTGGAGAGCATGGGCACTGTGGGCCGTGCGGGGATGTTGGGGTTCGTCTTGACCATCGATGGCTCGTGGTAATGATCATTGTGGTTCTGATGCTGCTTGTCAAGTTGGCCTGCATGTTGGACACAGACCCAGCAGCGACCAGGTAGGGTGGAGTCTTTTCGCGGCGGCGACCAATGCGCCACAGCCTTAGCAGCTCAAAATGTCAGTTTGCACTTCGAGAATACACGAGTTTGTCTTTCTCATACACTTGTGAGCTGGCTCCTCTCGCACCTTCCTCGAGCACCGTCGGATGCATTGACTTTTAGATTGTTCCAGGTGATTACCAGCCTCGACTTCTGGCGACGCTGTGCCGTCGAGCGTTGCCTGCCCAAAGCTCGGATCGGGCAGATATTGGACCGTGGCCTTCAGAGGCCACACCACAAGTGTAAACGTGTGCTAGGGGAGCTTCCGGGGGCTGAACAGGAAGTACTCGCAAAGATGGTGTGACCAGGGCTCGTTCCATCCCAGACATCAACGAGATGCTTATGAATTCAGCCAGAGGCTCCGATGGATTCTCGGGTGCACTGGTAATTGCTTGTAGCTGCCCAGGTCCGGTCAGGCCTTACTCTGCCTTTTAAAGCTCCCATGCACATCCCGTTCCGGGCCGTGGCAAACCAAGGAAGGAGCTGCTGTTGGCTTCCCAACCTGCTGGCCCGCTATGTGACTTCCAAAGAGTTGCTTGGCTCAACGTGTGGGGCAAGGCCGCGCATGATGCCACGAAGCGGCTGCACATGGCTGCATGATCGCATCTACGGCTGATAGATAGAGTTTGGATTCCCCTGTCTCTTGAGGAAGCCGTTCGCGCCAACATCTCCGAGCAACGGAAAAGTGGCCGCGGTCCCCTTGTAGCATATAGAGCCCTGGCCTGCAGCTAGTCTGGGTTTACATGCCGAAACATGGACGTCGCCAAGCTTTCGTGCGCAAGTTCAAGGAGCGGCTGCCCGCTGCCGCTCTTGGGCCTTCCAAAGGAAGACCTGTTTGTGTGCATAGATCCCCCGTCGTGCCGAACCAGCCGCGACCGAGTCTGCAAAGGTAAAAACTGCACCGGGGGTACACTGCCGGAGACGAGCTCTATATACCCAAGGGCATTAGGCAGTTTTGGGCGTGGAAGTTATTTCCAGTGGAAGAAGGTTACACCGGTTGTGCAGTTCTTCAACACAGAAGGCCGTCTTGCTGTGCCGGACTCCAAATCATCTCTGAGTTTGGTGCATCAGGTAGTTAACCTGACGGGTACATGCAACATCAACGTGGAAGTTATCGAATCCCGAGACGACAAACCACAAACGAGAAGAATCCGTGATGGGTGTGTTTTGAGTTTTGAGTCTGCAGCAAACTGTTGTAGTTCGAATCCATATGACTTCGACTCATCGAAGAGACTGTTGAGTTCCAGGCCTTCCGCGCAGATCCAGCTGCGGTCCGCACCCGGCTGGGTCCTCACATCTAGCCGCTCAGCCGCCTAGCCAAGATGTGGCGGCCAAGCTCTACACGGCTTCGAGCAGCAGAGGTCACGAGATCGACGTTGGAAACTTGCTGCTTCGCTTCTGAGGCTGTATATGAAGGCAGTGCTATGGGGACAGCGATCATGTTTTGGCTGTCTCTTGTGTTGCGCCATGAGCAGGACGAGAGGCAGGTTCCGGATGATCCACATGAAGCCAAGAGAGATAACTGCACAGCTATAGTTATCGACCACTATAGATTGCATTTAATTTAGTGCCGCTAGCTCATTTTTTGGATCATCTTCTTGAGCGACCTCTGTGGGATCATGATCATGTTAGTTGTAGTTTTCGCTGTTTTGGTTAGCAGAAGTCTAAACGTTGCCATTGCTAGCAGATCGCAACGACCCTTTCTTCGCCTGCTGAAGCGACAGGTTTCGGGAAGCTTTCGACATGGGGTCCAACACATCATGTTTTTGTTGGAGCGCTTGGAGGCCGGCAGGAACCAAGTGCCCTGCAAGTGCCAAAGCTTTGGATTCTATAATGAAATAGCATCGGACATGACTCCACCCCGATTTAACGTTTCTGTACTCCTTCAGGGCACTTCAGGGTCTGCATGGTGCTTTCGGTGGGGTCTGCAATTGCACAGTCTTGGTTGGCAGTGCAGGGTGTGGAAATGGAACCCAGATTCGTGAATTGCTGAATTGCTTGTTGCTGTTCGTGTTGCCGTGACTGCCCCACTTTCGAGTTTGATAGGCCGCTCGGGCTTGGATCTGGTTGGCTGATGTTGTTGCTGCCGACGGCGGGTAAAGTCTGCGCTGCTTGTCATTGCTTTGGCGCTTCAAGGGGCTAGAGCCAGGGGATTTTAAGATGATTTTAGGGGAGCCTCGCCGGATAGGCCATGCATACGCACGGGATCGAAGTGGATACTCACGTGCACATCCTCTCGAAACAACGCCATACACGGTTCGACTCGGACAGGCGTCAACCGGGATTTCGCCGTGAAGCTCAAAGCAGCCCCGCGGCCAGTCACGGCAAGTCCACTAGTTGCAGAGGTGTGTAGGAGGAAGCCAACCGCCAATGACTCACTCAAGGACTCAAGATAAGAAGGCCCTTGTGCCCATGTGGTTGCCGGACATGCGATTGAATCACGCCAAGCCCCAGAGGTCAAGCAGCTGTCGCCAAATCAGGCAGGAGGCAAGTCATCGTCGGAGGCTCGTTGGTTTTGGGGAGCTCGCTTCATGACGATAGCATGCTTTGGAGAAGCAGTAAGACAGATGCTGAGGTGGCGAGAGGCTTTTGAGGCAGATCCGGCGGCTGCGACCGGGAGCTAGCAAGATTTGGTTGCTGTGTGATTGTCCTCTTGCGCGAGCATGCCGGATTTCGTAAATGCCAGAAAGTCTACTGGCGCAGCCACCGGTGCAAGATAGCAATTAGCTGCCTTAAGGCCGAGTTGCTTGGACTCGGTCCATGCTTTCTGTCGGGTTGTCGACGACGCAGGCATTTGGGGGTGGGTGGGACGGGCTCACAAGTGTATGCTGACTTGCGGAAACACGGCTTTTGGCAGGTGGACAAGACAACCGTTCAAGTCGTTGTTGGTGGAGCGGCTTGTTTGTTGTCTGCAGCAGCTCTCAAGCAGTACTTCTTCCACCAGTGCCTCCAGCAGCATTAATATCACAGTTGGCAAGGTCGCAAGACATAGCTCATCAGATTCTGACAGTACGGACATGCCACAGAATCAGGTGCCAGCCCAAGGGATGCACCGTGCTCACCAGACCGGGGCTGCTGGGATGCCTTCCAGATATGTGGAAGAACTTCAGCCAGCGTCTCGGCCGAGGCAGGGGCTGGGGGGCGCCATGCAGCGCGGCGACAGACGGTTCTCACGAGTTGTAGGGCCGGCTGATAGGCTCTTGCATCAGAAGTCCCAAATCGCTTGTTCGCGCAACGATCATGTCGTTCCACCCCGCTCGACCCAGGAACACAACCCACAGCAATTTGGCCCAGTATCACGAGACAGATGGTGACACGCTTTACCTTCACTGCGGTGTACTGCAATACTTCATGCGACCCTTGGTTATTACCAGAGATCCTCGCAATGTTGAGCACATGCTCAAGACAAACTTTGACAATTTCCCGAAGGGTGAAGCGTTCCATGATTCTGTGCATGAGTTGTTGGGAGACGGCATATTCAATGCAGATGGCGACCTTTGGTACAAACAGAGGAAGACGGCATCGCAGATGTTTACTGCAACCAGATTCAAAAATCACATTTGGAGACTTGGCTGGTTAGGGGCAATTCTTGGCCAGTTTTCGTTTTGTAGTCTGCAAACCATCAAGCAACACATGCCCTTCGAAAATGAAGCTTTCATATGATCTTGCGGTACAGTTGTTTGACTAGACTGCATGCGACCAATTCGTGAAGATGCTATCACAGCTTGAGCGCGGAATGCGCGAACTGCTGCTCAGAGAATACAAAACATGCCAAAGAAGCGGTGCGGACGCACCACTGGCACAAGAGGACCTGCGGCAGCATAGCAGTGCAGAGAGACATCACAACAAGTTCTGAAGAAGCATTGTCGCGACACTCCAGCCCGACGCCAGACACCGAAGCACAACCGATTTACTCAAGCTGACATGCTACGAACTACGAACAGCTAGCAACAGTAGGCTCCAACATCTGTAAAGTCGTGTCTGAGGGCAGCATTTGGCCCATGAAGCCCAGGCGAGTTCTGCAGAGGAACTGCCAGAAGGTATTGGAGATATTGTCGAACAACCCAGAACCGGTGGTTGACCTTTTCAACTTGCTGAACCGCTTCACACTGGACTCAATCGGAGAGATCGGATTTGGAACTTCCATCGGGTCGTTGGAGAATCCTGTGTCACCGTTTCTGCGCTCGTTTGATGAGGCGCAGAGGATTGTGTTCAGGCGATTCGTGCTGCCAGGTTGGCGCGCCTCGGCAATCCGATTCCTTCCTCCTGGTCATGTAGACTTTACTCACTTATCAATCAAAGTGTTGACTTGCCAGCTTCAGGCCTTTTTCAGTTCTTCGCCGTTGGCTCCGAAAGAGACAGCCGATTCCACATGCGAAGCCTGAGAGAATACAGCAAAGGCATCGTGGAGCAGCTGTCCCGGTCGCTGGATACCGAAGCCGGGGACAGTTTCGTGGGCCTTTTTATGAAAAGCGAACCCAACTCGTCACCGGATTTTCTGGTGGACTTGGTGTTGAACTTCCTCATCGCCGGCCGGGATACAACAGCTCAGGGCATGTCTTGGTGCCTCCGACTCGAACAGTCACCGCGATAATCCGCTTGCGTGTAGCTAATCTAGCAGGGTAGTTTCGGTATAGGCGGTTCTCGCAACTCCCTGTACTCGTAAGTAGTAGGTTGAACAGGTGCCTCTTCCTTCTCGCGCAGCATCCCGAAGTGGAAGAGAAGATTCTCAAGGAGCTCCAGGCCGTTTGTGGAGAAGGTGCGCTTGTCTACGATCACCTCCGTGACTTGAAATACCTTGAGGCAGTCTTGAAGGAGTCCCTGCGCCTTTATCCTTCCGTGCCTCTCGACTCAAAGACCACACTACAGTCGGACACACTGCCCGATGGCACATTTGTTCCACGAGGGACACTTCTGGTCTACAATTCCTATGCAATGGGCCGGTCCCGGGCGATTTGGGGCTCGGATGCAGCTGCCTTTCGGCCAGAGCGTTGGCTCAATGAAGACTCGAAAACCCCGTACGAAAATCCAGTGTTCCATGCCGGACCGCGTGAGTGCCTCGGCAAGCGCCTGGCGATTGTCGAGATGAAAACCATGATTGCCTCACTTCTGAAGCATGCCAGCCTACGGTTGGCTGTGCCCCCGGAGAACATCCGGCCAGACTCCGCGGCAACCCTTGGCATGTCCTCTGGCTTGCAGTGCTATGTCCACTTACGACATGCATCTAAAACAATATAATATAGGTCATACGTCCAAAGTGCGATGTGCAGCCACCACATTCCACCGAAAGCAACACAAGGCTTGCTTTTCCGCGGCTGTTGTAAAACGCTGCTTTGCTGATGAGGTTCTTGTTCGGCAACTAATCCTTGCGGCAGTGATAGCCGTGGCGATAGCTCTTACAGGCAGCGAAGCAGGTGCCCGTCTCCTTGGAGGAATTCTTAGAAGAGGCAAGGCACTGTGTTTGTTGTCGGGCCGATTCTGCAGCAGCACTCGCAAACATGTCTTCAACGCCTGCGAGCCTGGCTCACATGTACAAAGACCAAGAGCACAAAGAGTCACACAGGGAATTTCACAAACGCACTCGCCCAAGACGGCTTCAAGACGGACTCCAGCTCTCAGCGTCCACCGTGATTCAATCAAGATGGCTATTGCCATGGTCGCGATAACAGCGCTGTCGTGGGTGCACGCTGGGGCAGCCGGCATTCTGAATGATCAAAGGTCCGATGTGCTGCTCGGCAGAGTTGATCCCGAATGCTGTCTGACTCACGAAGTCTCGATGGGGCCACGCCGGAGTCCGACGTTAAAGCGCTCTCATGTTCAATCTTCTTCTGAAAGACTTAGAGCCCGCCCTCATGGGTTAGCTGGAAAGCCAAGGTTCGAAATCTGTCGAGGCCTGCACAAGGTGTGTCTAGCCATGCATAGCCTCCACATCTGTCAGCAGCCCCACATCCAGAATTCACCAATTTGATTCCAGCGGTCAATGGTCTTCCTTCGGACTATTAAAAGTACGTGATCTAGGCAGCTACAGTCCGAGATTTCCAGGCAAAAAAAGCCCCCTAGCAGCTCTGTCGGCTCTGCAGGCCCGATTCCGGAACCGCGATTCTGGCGTGCTTCGGTGAATCCTCGGATCGCCAAAGTGAAGGCACGCCGCGGACCAGAATCTTGGAACATGCACGGTCTAGCGGTGTTCTCTTAAGTGTCCCGTCTGTGTGGGCTGTAGTCGAAGCTCCATACAGCATGAGTTCATGTCAACATGAGTACATACCCAGCCCGGAAAACTTTGGGAAATATAGCCAGACGATAGGAACAGTCGCATTTCCAAGCAACGAGTTTCATCGTGTTCGGGTGCTGCAGCTGCCAGACTCTTTGTGACGAGTGCTGCCGCTGCAGCCATGACTCATGACACGGCTCATATCTGCTAGCGTGCACCGGCCAAGGAGTTGACTGCCGAAATCGCTTTCGAGTTCCCCAAGGGGACACTTGTGGGGCAGGTGCTCGGAAGCAATCAAATTAGTGGTGCCGGGGAGTATGACGCCACTGCATCTGACTAGTCTTGTCACACAGTCGTTATCGTTGGCGATCAGCTCGTACCGGGATGTTGGCCAGGTGGGCGTCGTGAGCCATGAATCGTGTGACGTTGACAGCGCAGATGGAGAGCTTAGTTAAATCAAAGCACTGCCAGCTGAAGCTCGGCGACAGGAGTCCTTTGGTTGAATGTGCTTTGGCCCCGTGCGCCAATTGCACAAGAATAACGATGCTATTTTTTTAGCACTGCTGCGACTCTGGAAGAGGAGGGAGTCCAGCAGCAAAGTGAGAGGTCAGTTGTAAAAAGTCCAGCAGGAAAACGATTGCAGTAGCACTGTGGCCGACATGCTCCGCTCATCACAGCCTTACAGTCATCATCATCATCAGCATCACCAACACCCATCACCATCAGTGGCTTCATGCTGGCAGTGTAATCCCCGAAGCCCTAGACCTGGCCTTGCCGGCCTTGTCATGTGCGAGTGTGAGAGTCGAAGGTCTTGTCGATGATCCCTGGAACATATTCGGATCCCAGCAACGTCGAACATACTCAGAAGGGAACAGCTCACCGGCTGTCTTTCCCACTTTGCAGAGCGTGGAGGATCGGCCAAGGCTCGGCTTCCGGCCGCGTCGACTGCTTTTCTCGGTGCCGGCATACGCCTGTGACTTCCATGCCATCCATCTGCGGAGCTTGTAACCGAGGTGATGGGCACCAACTGTTCCATGTTAGAGCCAGAGGGCGTGCTACGTCTTCAGGTTTTCGAGCCGAGGTGCCCCGGCGATCGGTGTTGAGTTGCATGATGTATATACTGCATGTCATTTTCATGGCGAGAAGTGGCTACTGTATGGGCAGGAAAGCTGGACCAGAGGACGCTGCGAGCCGGGAGACCGGATGGGTGACCCTGAGTGCTGAAGCGCAACATGTATGCAAATTGATTGTAAAGCTGGCGAGTAGTAGAACTGACAGACCTACCTTGTGGCACTTGTCATACAGAGTCATACTCGTGCCAACTCGGTCAAGAAACGAGGAAGGGCGGCCCTCGCTTCTTTGAGTTCGTGGGGCTGGACGAGGCGGATTCGCTGTCTGCCACATCCGGCGCTGAGCGCTGCAAAGCGGAGGGTACCGAGACTCGATTGCCTTGTGGGCTCTCTGGCAAGCTTCATTGAGATTGGATGCATTCTTTGAGTTGTATTGCCATTGCCGCACCTCCCTGCACCAAGGACAAAGATTCGGAACTGAAATCACGCAGCGAGCGTGTAGCTCTTGCAGCCTGCGAGGAAGAGCCGCGAAGCCTGTGCAGAGCCGGTGGCCCAGATGCCCAGTACACAGTCGAAAATCTCGTGTAGACGAGTACGGTAGCACTTCAGGCCCGCGGCCGGATAGTCAACCTTGACCCAGAGATGTTCGACGAAGTTTCGACATCGGATGAGCTTTGGATCGTAGCTTCCTTCACTCCCTGGTGCCTACGCTGCCCGGACTACATGGCATACCTGGAAGCCATGGCCCAGGAATTACCCCACAACAGCCCTATCCACTTCGGTGCATTGAACTGCCACTTCAACCAGAAGTTCTGTGTGGACTTGGGCCTCATTGGTCATCCCATGGTCGGCCTTGTCTATGGAGGCGCGCAAGGGCGAAGCATGGCGAAGCAAGGCAAGCTTTGGCTGACTGCGTGCGCCTGGCCCTGCTAGGGGAAAGCTTGAATGTGAGCTCAGCCCTCTCGGACTTCCTGCGGAAGCGGCCGGCAGCAGAATGGCGACCAGAGCGAAACTAGGCTCAGTCCACTCCAACGGTGCAAATCGATGCTCTGACACCTCTTTTCATGTGGTCTCGCTGAGGATGGAGTTTTGCTGTGGAGTTGTGCCGAAGCTGCATGCGACTGCCCATGCTTTCTTGAAACCATTCCCAGCCTCTCAACAGTGCTTTTGCCATTGCGGCCCCGGCCTTTCTCAGTGAACGAGCTGCAAGGTCTGCCCTTTTTGCCCTACTACCACACAGTTTCCGCCCCCCGGGGAGCCGCAGGCAACAGCCGGCGATTGCCGGTGAGGCATCTTTATGTCGCAGGCTGAGTTATTGAGATTCTTCGACCCAAGCGCTGAAGGCTTTTTCGCTTTATTAATCCTGATCGGGCGATACTGCGTCCAGCGTCTCAGGTGTGGCGAGGCCAAGCGGCGACACTGGGATCATGGGCGTGGGCCGAGACCGACCCCATATGCCATTAGGGCCATCAGGGCCATCAGTTGCAGCAGTGACGGCCGATGCAATGCAAGGCCTTGCAGAGACTCTGGAGATTCCGGGGGTCGTTGTGACGTTACGTCAGCTCTCTGCGTTGCATTCCTGGTTGTCTCTGTTTGAAGATCGGCTGCCTCCTGATTCTGGGGGCATGAGCCTGAAGGACCATGTTGCCCCGGAGCTCCACGGTCTGGTCAGGTATCTAAGAGATGCGTTGCACTCGGGATCAGCAGCAGCGGCTAGCTTTGCCCTCTGCCGGAAAGAGTGGGAGATAGCAGCAGATCCCTTGAGAAAGCAGCTGCTTGCAGCCAGTGATCTTCTCCGTCTCCAGGCCGGAGCCTCCCTAAGCGACTGTCATGGTCCTGCTTGCCGCGCGTGGGCACTCCTTCACAGCCTCGCTGTTTGGAAGACATCAGAAGTTTCAACCAACCACATTTCCGTCGAGAGTACTCTGAAGGCCGGGAACTTAAAAGTTGCATGTCAGAGACCCCCCCAGACTTCCGTACACGAAACCACCATAAACCACCTGTTTGCTGTCTTGTTTTGCAGGTTGTCGCAAACCTCTTCTCCATGCCTTCATCGGTACTTTCCCAGACGACGCAGGCTTGGATGCCCTCGAAAAGCCCGGCGTCCTGGCTGGGTTATGTTGACGAGTCGGATGACATTAAGGATGCGCTGTCCTTGGCAATTTGGAGAGTACATGGTGCAGCATCAGCACGCGCTGCTCTGGAGTGCAACGCCAGCACCGTTCCGGACTTGCGGTGGCCAACCGGCAAGGATTGTCCTGATTGTTGGAGTCGATGTTTTCGTCGAGGTCGATTCTGTTGGGGCCCATGGGAAAATGAGCGGCAGCTGGCAGCAGGCAAAGTGCCTGAGGGCTTCGCCGACGCTAGTCCAAATCATGCACAGGTTGCGGAGCTGCTGCGGACCAGGTACGGTGGACCAGAGCACAGGGAGCACGCGGAAAAAGCTGCCGTTTCTTTGCGGCCTTCTCTTTTACTCGTTTTCGAGCCCCGCCAAACATCCTAAACATTCGCAAGCCCCAACAAGTTGCAGCCCTATAAACCCTGAATCAACGCCGCGCATGCCCACAGCGAGAGTCGAACCAACGCCCCGGGTCATGAACCTTGTCGGAGTGCTAGCCGTGTTCAGGCTCGCGCAATGCCGTGTCTCGCAGCTGCAGCGGTCCAAGCACTTGATGTTTATGACCTGCTCGGTAGGGTGAGGGTGAGTTAGGACGGTCCAAAAGCAATGGGAGCTGAAGCAAACGGATAAATCTGAGAGAGCCTAAGGACTCCGAGGAATTTCCGGCGACTGGCCAAGGCATGCAGCGAATCTATTCCTTCCCCTGAAGCCAAGGGTTGTTTCAACAACGACCATGCATTGGGTCACTCGTAAGTGTGGTAATGCGAAGCACAACCAGACTCAACTAACCGTAACTAGCCAAGGCTCCGAGCTCAATTTCCTGAGCTTAAGCTGTGATGTTATTCATACGGCTTTTGTGTCAGAGGGCCTTGTGCAACAGCTGCTGTTGCAGACCAGATGTCTCGGTTTCAGGGGACATGTCTCCAACATGCAAATGAGGTCAGTCGAGTCCTTGTGAAGTTCAGCGGAACCATTGTACATGTGAGTCAAGCAAAGGATTCTTTGTTTTTCTAGTATTTAGCAGTGATGTGTGCAAATGCTTGAAAAGTTGACTTTGTGCAGCTTCCACGTGTCATTATTCTTGATTCCGCTCTTCCTCTTGCATGTCTTCTTCTTGATGTCGGCGCTGCGCGAGCAGTTTTGCAGGAATTTTGGCACACAAGAAGGTGCCCCTTTCCTGGCAGTATGTTTCCTTTCGTCCTGATTGCATCAGGCAAGGATGGATCTTCTACGGACCTGACGACAACACTCGCGTGAGTCCAGGCATGGTTTGATGAGCTCAGGGAACCCTAGTGTTTCGTATGCCCTCGTGCCAGAGCGTAGAGATGTGACAGGAGCCCGAAGAAGTCAAGTCAACTTGGAGGCCAGGCCCATCCAGACGGACCTCTTGCTGACATGCACAAGAGGAGTAAAATCTGTGATGGCCTCTAAGACCTAACCACAACACCATGATCCCCCTGCACTTTGAGGATCCACCAGGCAGCCAGGAGAGTGGCAGCGGCCAAGCTGGCTTCTGAGTCTGTCACTTCACAATGCATTGGGAAGCACCCGCAGTGACAGCACGGACAACTCATACGACATGGGGAATCTCAGTTACATCTGCTAGGGCCGCCAGGGGCCACAAACATTAACACCAGCCGTGAAATTGCGTTCTTTGCGCTGTTGGCTCACAGCCTTGTGACGTGGCAACTTGGCAATACCCGCCGATAGTGAGCCTTGACGCCATGTCGAACGCCAAGGAGCGGGTCTTCCACGCGGCGAATCTGGATGCCGTCAACGCCGCCCATCCTCACATGGATGATCCGAGGTTCATCTCGCTGACCAACCAGTCCAACAACTGCATTCTGCGCTTCACTGTCTTTGCGCGCTGTGCTCGTGAGCTGGGGGAAGAGGACACGAGGTGGGCCGCGTCTCCTCTTGCGTTTAGTCAAGTCGCAAGTGTCTTTCTGATGGCAGGTGCAAGTATCAGTACTACCGAGCCCAGTGTGCTTGCCCTGAGTCCCAGCTGGAGGACAGCGGCAGAGATACGACTGCAGTCATGAATGAAGCTGGGATAGACTGTCATTGCCCACACAGTACACATGACTTCAGATTCAACATAAACTGTTGCCTACGATGGTTTCATTTCGTTTGAAGCAGCAGCTGCAGAAACCAGACTGCCTCCATGAGCCTCCGGCTGACTTTAGCTTTCGGGGAAGGGCGGAATGAGCGGAGAGAGCGAGATGTTGATCTCTGAACGGAGAGGTTCAGAAGGCTCGATGCATAAGCACTGGTCATTAATGCTGTGCGAGCTCATGCACTCGGCACCCTGTCGTGCCGGGAAACATCTCGAAAAGCACCATAGAGACTCTGAGAGGTGGAAAGCGAGGGAGAGCCTTCAAACAATCGAATCTGTCGGCTCACTCCGAGCGAACTAAACCGATGGTGCCATGGAGGACTGGATGGAGCATCGTGCACGTGGCTCCTGCCACCTGGACGTTCTGCCTGATCGAAGCACTGTGCACTGCAAGCAGTAAGTCGTGCGCCGGCTGGCAGCATCGGACAGCCGCTCTTGTCAAAGGAGGGGAGAAGATCTTCACATCAATCATCGATGAATATCGTTATTCAGTTACTCCAGTCATGAATCCTTATCATGTTGTGTGTGGCGGGGTAACTTCTCATCCTCAACAGGCTGGCCGACCTGTTTCAGTAAAGTACTGTTGTGTCTTTTTGATCGGTACGGGCCTGGCGACTCCATTACGCTCTCTTCCGGCATGGTGTCAGCAAAAGAGCCGTGCACGAGTGTGGTCTGAGTGAGCTGATTCACCTGCAGTAGTCATGCATCTGCTGAACGAGACGTAAGGGTTGGTGCTTGCATGGTGCACTCACTGACCCCCGGAGCCGCTGCATTCAGCCGAGAGAGACTTCCTGCCGTGAGTGTCTCCAAGGACACTGGGATTTTCGTCATTTGCAGGTTTCCGGTCCCTTGTCAAGTATGCTCATAGGAGTGTCACGACAGCTTTGGAGGACAATGGATTCGCTTAGCGATGAGAAGAAGTGTGCGATCAAAGTCTGTGGCCTGAGACTTAGCTCTGCAGGATTTGTGATTCTTCTTCGTTCCGCATTGCTGGTCAGGGACTGTGACTGCACAGGTGGGGGTTGCTGCCTGGGCTGGCTAATCTTCTTCATTGTCCTGGGGACCAGCGCACCTGGGAGCGCTTGTTCTCACATGTCTTGGCAAGGAACTTCGCATGTTGAGCGGTTCGATGTCAACGTGGCCATAGGTGTTCAATCTGCATGCCTGTGCTGCCTCTGCCAAGGTAAAGTACGTGAACGACAGGCAGCAAGTGGTGTACATCAGCAACACCGGGCGCACGACAGAGCAGGGTCCTTTCACGAAGATCATCTGGCCTACGACTAGGCCAGGGCGGCAAACCCTGAAAGACCTGACGAGTAGAACCGCAAGTGTGGCTCCTTTGCTCTCACAGACATCACAGACTGTGTAGAGGAAAGCTTTGTTCTCTTTGCTTAAAGCTTTAGATGACGCGTGAGTCGACCTGTTGAGGCACGAGATCCGCGATGCGATTATGGTGACCGCTCGTCAATATGCAGTCCTGAAGCACGAGAGGACGCAGCAACCAGGCTGTACAAGCTGGAACATGTCTGAGCATCCGAGGTCTGACATTAGTTAGCCATCCTGTGACGACTGCAAGCGATAAATTTCCAAGTTACAAGTCACCACTCAATCCAGAAGTGCTTGCGTGACGGCTGCTGTGTGTGTGAAGTTATTTATCAGCACGCCCAAGCTCCCCGCTTTGTAGTCCGTTTGTTTTTGATTTTGCCCGAATCAACGAAACTTAGAGTCAAGGCTCTTGCGACATGAGCCTGGGCCAGGGCAGGCCTGGAAGACGTGCTACCTGCGGCCCGGAGCACACACTCTTTCACCTGCGTTGATGAAGGTGTTCATGGATGCCTGGGAGAGCCTAGTTGAGGTCAAGGACTCCGTTTCAGTCGTCCTTGTCGGCATGGTGAGGTATACGGAGTTTAAATGAGACTCGTGTGGGGTTTGTTACTCTTTCTTTTTCAACACTCCGGTTCATAATCTCAAATGGCCCGCAGTTTTGTGACAGGTATGGTGTGCAATGCAGATGTCACCCCTAACACGGTTCAAGGGATTTGGTTCGAACGATGAGCCTGCACACCATGGGCAAGCGCTGCGGATAGGTTTCCCAACATGCCCTGGACATGGGCAGCGTCTTGGCAGGAGAAGATTGTGCTGCAGAAGATGGAGTATGTCCGACTCATTGACAGGCTCACAGGTCTCGAGCGTGTGGCAGCTCGTCCGCCAGCTTGTTGGGCGTACATTCGTAATTCGGTGAGGAAAGGAGTTACAGAGTGGTAAGCCTTGGAGACACATCGGCCGAAGTGCTTTGGCGGCTCGCCGAGCTTACTCCGAAGGCAGTAGCAGAGCAGCTGAGCAACTGCCCTTTCATCGTCGTGGCTGCTAAGGAGGGCGGCCCACAAATCTTGGTGCCAGAGCCAAGAGAGGTGGGTTGTAGGTAAGGCAAACGAGACCTCAGCATGGCAAAAAGCTAAGAAGCATGCCACATGAAAACGGAACCAGCTTAGAAAATCCTGGAAGTCTTCGAGTACGTAATTTCCACTTTGCCTTGCATGTTTTTGCTTCCCTGTCCGATTCTCTCCGGGTCTGGTAGAACTTCCATTTGCTTCCCAACTCATGCTTGTGCGCATGCCGCACCCCTGAGCCTCGAAGCAGCGTACACATCATTCATGGACGTTCCAGCTTTACCACAACGCTCAGCATTCGCATTCATAGTCCCTGCTGCTTTCAAGATGATCCATGTCATTGCTCTGAATTTTGTCTCTCGTATCGTTGATTTCCTGCAGCTGGTAGCTCGCCCATATGTGATGCGTTGCTTCAGAATTCGGAGGTTCATTGAATTCCAGTATGTGTCTTTGGCTTTCGGGGGCCGATGTTTTTCAGGCCCACAGAGCAAACAAGCGATCATGCCACGCTTGGCAGGAGTGGCCTTCTGGTGTGGAGACAAGCATTGTGATCGGCCAGACCAATGCTGTTCTTGTTGAGACCCTCGCCGCTGTTTGTGCATGGACAGCGAATGATGTGCGGCTCAAAGTGCAGCAGGCGGAGAAACTGATAACCAAGCCCCGAGCCTCTAAAGTCATGTGTCGAGTCCTTGCATTGCTAGCTGCTGGCAGCGAGCCGCTTGCTGTCTCTGAGGAACAAGACTTCTGGCATGAAGAGGTTGGTGACGGCAAAGGGCATGTTCGTCCCTGAACCTTATGATTCGCAGCTGCAGTTGAAGAGTGTCAATACTGATGCCGACCTTCTACTCTGCAGTTTTCTGCCTTTGTATTTGCACGAGCTGCGTGAGATATTGAAATGCTTCTATCGCTTGCAAGCATGGTCTGAGGACAGAATCCAGTCGGAAAAGAACGCGGTATTGCTTGAGCCTCTGATGTATGCCGTGGTAAAAGACCACTTGACAGGCCATGTGGTGCCCTTTCCGAGGTTTGTATCTTGCAAGCTTATGGTCAATCACTCTACTCGTAGATTAAGTGCACCATGCCACCATGCTTCCTTTTCTTCCTGCTTCCCTCTTCAACATAAGCATGTCGACGTTACCGCAGAGTCGCACCCAGAGCATGAGCTGGCACAGCCGTGCAGGTCAGACACGCAATGAACTTGGTCCCCAGCTTCTTCAAGTTGGACCCTACGAAGAGATGCTCAACGTTTCTCAGAAGTGGGTGCTGGAGAAGGCACTTTGCAAGTTCTAAGGTGGTGCGCGGATGCGAGCAAGAGCAAACAAGCAAACTGCAGGACTCCTACCTTCGCCTGGTGAACGGCCAGACCGGTGAAGAGCGCGTGGAGCGTGGACCCGCTGCAGCCCGTCCGGACAAAAGTGAACAGAGGGGCAAGTGGCCAAAGCCCTTAAAGCGGGAGGATGCAGAAAGCTAGCAACGCATGCGTTGCCTGACTGGCATGCTCGGTTCTGGTTTGACTGAGGTTGTGGTGCCAATGCCTGTTGAGACTGCGCCCGAGGGTAAGCAAAAGGCTGTGTATGTAGACAGCCAGACAGCGGTGAAGGTGCTCAACAGGCCAGCGGCATTCTCCGAGAGCGTAGCACATGCGTAGCACCCCCCGATGTCACGCCGCCATGTCGTCCTGGCAGGCAGAGTGGCCAACAGCGACTCGACACGACGCAGGGTGTTTTCATCCCACTTCCCTACGAGCGCATCCTGGAGACGCAACGCAAGATCTTGGTGCTGCCTCACCAGGACACGGTCAAACGGTCATGGGAAAGGGCAGGATGCAAACTGCAGAGCAGTCATAGGCCTCCGCCATCGAGTCAGAGCGAACTTGATCTTGAAATCCAAGCTCCTGGTCTTGCTCCTGATGTGACAAACGAAGGGGCTGAAGGGTATCGTTGAATGCCGGCACTGCTTTGGCAAGCTTTGCAGGGATCTCGGTAGGGCCGGGAGGATTGACACCGTGAGAGCACTCCAGGTCTGTATTCGGTGCTGATTGTGACTGCAGGCCTGCGTGACGCGCGACATTTACGGTGCAGTGACATTGAAGACCGGAGCCGGTGGTGCGACTGCCTTCTTTTTGCCACCCTATACCTCGTTGATGCAGTTCAGCTGGTCTTCCTACTCCTCTCCGGTGCCAGAGCATTACACCAGTTGAGTCGATTCGAACACGAGTGTTTGGCGAGGTTCCATGGTTCCGCGCTGGCATCTTAGGTGCTGGAGGACCCGGTGCCCAAGGTTAGCATCACTATGATCGATCTGCGTGCGCAGAAGATGTTCTTTCAGAATGAGGCATCTGCCCGGCTTGAGCTTCGCGGAATAGTGAACCCACAGCTTGGCCCCTGCAACCCGCAATCATGGGTCCGACCTGCGACTTCGCACGGGAAGTTGCAGAGTGTTACCCAGTATGCAGATTCTGAAGGTCCGAACAAGCGACAATGTGAAGCTGAAGCTGGAGGGGACTATCTTCTGGCAGGCTAGTTCTGCGGGGACACCGTGATGACATCATGCGGCTGTCTACTGCACGCCCCAAACTGGCAGATAGCAATCCTCGAATAGTCAACGAATGTCCCCCCTTGTGCAAGGTGAGGGATGTCATGAGGATGGTGTCCATGACTTCGGATGCTCCTGGCGACATCTCTCAGCGGGTGACCTGTGCCTCCAAGAGCGTTCAAGCAAGCAGCCTGTGTGAGCCAGGTAAAGAAGTGCATTGCTCGTAGAACACCCGTGCATGAAATGGTACTGAATAGCTACAACATGGTGCAGCTGTGCGTGGCCGACTCTTTGTACTTGAAGGTCGAGGTACAGGAGAGATAGCTTGCTGCGAAGCAACCTGCCACCTCGACAATCACGCAAACGTTTCTGTGAAAGGATTGACGGTGCAGCCTTGTGCCGAGCAAGCAACAAAGTATGTTTCGATTTCTTGGTTTGGTACGGAGTCAGCGTTTGCCCTGGAGGCACGATCTGGAATGATCCAAGAAGTTGGCAGGCACATGCTTGAGTTAAAGTACTTTCATGCTCAGAAGTCAGGTGTCAGCTCGCCTGCCAGGCTTACACTGGCCGAGTTCATGAACGGCTTCAACAACTTGACTCAGGCCACGTACGACCGTCAGGCTGGACGGAGGGCCTCCGGCCTCTGGCATGTCAGCAGGGAGGATGACTGCTTCTGGTGTATACATGAATCTTATCACAACGGCTTAAACTGCTATCCAGTTTCATCAGTTACGTGTGCATATGCACATGCAATCTTTACCGGTGCACACATGTCATGTAACATTACACATGTGTAGGCCGAGGAATATCTACACTGTTCAGTTCATAGACAAACGACCGTTTACAGTTCAGGAACCTCGGACTCCGGATCTTCGTTCAGGTTGCCGACGTCTTCTATTCAGACCGTGGAGTTGAAGTACAGAGCTTGGAGATCACGCGCTTTGCGCCTCAGCTCCAAAGCAGGATGCGCTACTTCAAGATTGGCTTTAATTCTGATTCTTCTATCACATGAACTGTTTCTTTTCTTCGCTGGAGTTTTGATGGAGGGTGAGGAGTGCTTGCTGTCTCTCAAGTTTTCCGACAAAGGCTGCGTGAAATTGTTGACGACTGAGGCAGCCGGTTAGCTCCAGCACAGGAAACAAACGAGCTGCGTAGTTCTGAAGCTCAAGACCAGGCAAGTACTTAATTTCCATTTGTAGAAGTTTGCCACTTTCTCATGTGTCGTATACTGCATCTCAGGAATATTTTGCAGACACACAGTACCGAACACGTGTAAAGATGATGTATATAAACAAATGATGCATGCGGACTTGTGTCAACATGTCCTTAGCCGAAGCCGTTGCCTGAAGTGTGAGTTTTAGGATTCGGTGGATAACGCCACAGCGGCGGTCCTGCAAGAGATCATCAAGGAGACTACCCTTCGCGTGGGGCTGAGCAGATTCGGTGAACTTTCGTCGGTGAGAAAACGCGCTTGATCGCATCTATCTGCACCATCCTCACCGCAGTTGCAAGTCTGAAGCTCCGAGGCATCAACGAACTCCAGAAGCAGGAGAGCCAGAACGCAGTGAACGCTTCGGCCCTAGTGGCTGTCTGTCACATGGAAGAAGCCGAAAAGGCTCGTACGACTAGTAACCTCGGCATCCATGGCGGTTATGGCGGTGGCAACAGCAGTGCTAACACCAAAGACTTTGATGCTGATCCTGACGATAACAGTCCAACTCCAGTGAGATTATCGCCACTCTACGAAGATTCGCTTGATCCAACTACTCGACGAACAGCTATAGCGCGCTGACAGGCGCTTTCCCGACTCATGCCTCAACTGTCCAATCACGAGACATTGGACGGTCGGATGCTTCTTCAGCAGGAACCCACCAAAATTCATGCGGGAACATGAGGCAGCAAAAGGGCCTTTGAAACAAGGGCATCCTTCGCCGCGACTAGGGTTGAAACCTTCCACGACAGAACCGGCAGCCCAACCTATTGTCATGAGCCAAGATTTCTCAGGCTGCGAAACTGGCCGCCGACATCCGACTTGAACAACAGCGCACGGCATTGATTCAGACGCAGGCGTGGCAGGGCTGCGCAGAGGCAAAGCAGGTTTTTTCGCCTAACTGCGTTTGGCCAAGCAAAATGATCGCTCGCAGTTTCCTTTTGGAGCCTTCTGGTTCTTGCGTTCACTGTGAGACGGAGCCATCCCCGCAGGCTGACAACACGAAGCTTGCCAGGCAGTTTCAGGGACAGTCCGCAGGCGCCAAGTTGGTGGGGATCCCAGTGAGAAAGCCCAGACGGGGCACCTGAAAGCACTGCAGGCAGCGTGCAGTTGCTCGCTGTGTTTTTACGCATCTCTAGCTCCGGCAACTCGTGCCGAAGAAGTGGTGTCCCTGAATGTGGCGAGTTGCTATAAACGGCAAGCTGGAGGGCTGCAGTCTGGCTTCAGTAATCGAGCAGCATCCGAATAGGTCGTGAAGTGCAGGAAAGCGAGGCTGTTGTGTTTTGATCAAGCGTGCTAGGCAGCATCGGATGCCATCCAGATCTCGTTGCAACAAGTTGTTGCAAACTGCCGTTCAAGGTGCAAAGTGCCATGGCGTTCATCGCGGGGTTGAACGAGTCCGTGCCAAATGTCACCGAACGTGTTGAACTTTACAAGCGCGGGGCTTGGAATGAGGGGTGAAGACCAACATTCCATTTGGAGAGCACTCGTAGCTTTTCCGGACATTGAAGCTGCTGACGAGTCAACCATGTGAACTGACGGGGGCCGGAATGCTGTCTTGCTCCAGGCTGCACCAAACCTTGACCGCCCGAAACAGCGACACTGCCAGTCTGTCGCAGGGCAAGGTACCGGATTGCAAAGTGGGATGCGCGGTTGTTCTTGCATTTGTGTAGTGCCCTACGTGAGAAATTCGTGCAGGGGTACTTGGTGGACCTTCCTTCGCCCAATAGCTTAGTCGGCCAGTGACAGCGAGATTCATTGCAGGCCCAGATCTTCATGACGCCAGATGATTTCAATCTCAATCTGGGCGCAACGACATCGTGAGTCGCATCCTCATCTCCCCGTTGAGCTGAGAATCCGAGCCGCGCAGGGTTGCCTGAGAGCCAAGGATTGTGATGAAGGCATTTGGTCCAAGACACCACGCACGGCAAACCCTGGAATGCTCAGCTAAGTCTGATTCCGGGAGGCTTGGCAAAATAAACACGACCGCGCACAGGTACTCGAACTGTGACATAGGTGTCACATGCTGCCTTCTTCCGTCTTGCAGAACCTGTTGTAGCAGATCGACCTCTGACAGTTTGGTTAAGCCGCGCGTGCTCCAGCCGAGGTGACCGCCGTAACTCCTGGCTGCAAGACCGGGCCTCCGTGTATGCATACCGAACCGTTCAACAATGCTACTTTAGGACCAAAGCATCCAACGGACCTGTCTGCGATGGCATCCACGAAGGCGCATCTCAAACGTAACCAGCGGGCTGGCACCCTGACTTTCTGCAAGCAAGGCCTAACACGCTTGAAGCAGCAAGCGTGCAAGCTTGTTTGCCGCAGTCGAAGAGCCAGCACAGTCGGGCGAAGTACGCCCAGGGTGATATCGTCAAGAGGACAATGGGGTTTGCACTCGGGATTTGCGATTTCAGTAGGCATCCGGGGGCGTTCTGAATGCCTGCCATGAAAACCTATTGTGTCGATTGGGTGTCCTTCTGCTAGTATTGCTAATCACAAAATCGCAACCTAGATTGCTTTAAAGTCCCTTCATGTGCTGTGGACTTCGACAACATGAAGCTGATCCTTGAGTGCTTACCATTGTAGTGATAGTGACCTTGCAGCGTTGAGGTCAGCTTCATGTCAAGTGCAGGCAAGGCACTGGTAGACGAGAGTCACCGTGCTACCCAGTAACTCGAGAATGGGTTTCATTTTGCCCCTGAAGGGGGCGTAATTCAACAAGCTACCAAAACATGCCGTCTGCCATGGCCGCACCCAGAGTCTACATCTGAACCAAAAATCCAAAAAGCACCAGAGTTGCAAAATTGACGATGCGGCAGTCAAGGCGACAGTTTCATTGGCCGTTTCGAGTTCGAGGGGCGGCCTGCACAGTGCCCCGTCGATCTCGCAGTCGCAGTGTCTTGTATTAAGATCTGTGTGTATGTGCGCAGCTCATGCACAGGCTTGTCGTGGATCGTGTGAGTGCCCGGAGCCTTATGGCAGCCCATCCAAGGCCAAAACACGCTTATAGTCCTATAGTCAATTCCTTTCAATATCTTTCAAAAAGCTCGGGCCGGGCGCTGTCATGAGAGTCTCTCGTCTCATCACGGTCGCTTGCGTCACCTCTGTGTGTTCCTTGCACCACACTTGAAGCTCGCAGCTGCAAGCATCTGCCATCTGAAAAAGGAGGGATGCAGCCGCACCTCCGCGCATTCCGAGCAGTCCGAGCAGTGACACAGCAGTGACGACGAGCCAAGGTGTGGCGTTGCACTTTCTCCGCCGTTCCTGGTTCCCGTGAGAAGCTCAGATGACGCTGCAGCTTGAGCCTGGTTAGGATTCCATAGTCCTGTCGGCAACCGACAATCGGAAAGGCGCCGAAAGGACGATTCCTGAAAGCACTGGAAAAGCGGCCAACCAACACCGTCCGCAGCGCACATCACATCCTCGAAGCAAGCCGTGCAGCTGTACAGCTTTGGCCAATTCCGTCTATCGGGTGCCGCAGCCTAATTGCAGGGATCCTGCCTTCTCAGTCGGCACAAGATACCTCTAGTTGCAACGTTAGAAGCAATCGCCGGGCACCGTAGCGGCATGGTAATCGGCGGCCTTCCGGTACTGCTGGCTTAAGCCAGCGCCTTTTGAGGCCTGAGGTGTTCCTGAGGATACTGCACAAGTACGGGAATAAGATGTTGGCTTGCTGGAAACAAGGTTTCGGAGCCATCAGCCTAGGTTTGTCCATAGAAAGGCACCCAGACTGAGCGACCCGTTGACCAATCAATGTCTTGCAGTTGCGAGATTTGGCGGCCGGATTCACTGGTACTCGCCAACCAATTTGCAAGTCAGCTACCTGAGCATCCTGTAGCCTTCGGATGAGGTCCCCAACGAAGAAGCGAATCTGGCAATGTCTGTGTCGGCAGGCCACCTTGCAGAAATGCTAATTGCTTCGCTCGAGGTAGTGGTGCTTGATCGAGTGTATTGGCACTGCAGGCTTGGCCGGATACCTGGCCGCTCAGCAGAAAGGGCCTTGCTAAGACTCGGACTGGGTGGGTGAGCTTGTCCTGTGAACGTGCAGTCAGCGGCAAGTGAGCAAGGCCCACCTGCAACCCCTTTCAGCACATCTGCAAGTGGCTCAAGCGAACTGAAGTGGAAGAGTCTCCGGGCTGCAGACGGTGTGACGATAAAACCTTGCAGCATGTTCTAGCATGTTTAGCCGACGGTGACGGCTTGTATTCCTTCCTCCACACATTTCTTGATGCAGACCGTGTTTTTCAGAAGACATACTTCAACTCTAGCCCCGGTATTGGTCCGTAAGTTCCTTGCATCTGCGAACATGAAAACACATCTCTGTTTTCAAGCATCTCTCAGGTGTCCCTCATCCTCGTTGTCGTGGGTCTCTTGGCGGAATAGAAGAGAGCTGTTTTTTTTCCGAAGTTGGTGCTACTTGGGAGATCCTCTGCCAGGTCGAAAGATAACTACGTTTGGCATAACCTGTAGCAATTGCTATTGAAATCTGCTGCTCTATGCTGCAGCACTCGGGCACTGAAGGCGTGAGATAGAGATCCATGTTCAAACCTGAGCCACCAGTGCCAGCACCTTCACGGCAGCGCAGCAAATGGCGCACAACTTCACGGAACTACTTGTTCTGCTTGTTCTCCTCTGCCTTCATCTTCGTCGCATGCTGCTTCATGTGAGCTCGCAACCGCGCTTCAACGCTTGCTTCATCCAGGAATGCTGGGAGTGTAGGCTGTTACATGACGGGGGACTTGAATGAGCAAGAGAACCATGTCAACAAAGCTATGCAACTTATTTGCAATCACCTGCCCAACGTCCTCAGTCACGCTCTCGAGCACTGGATTGACATGCGTCTTGGCTATGAGATACTGCTGTTTGTAGTCGTGCTATGTTTTGAAAACACAAAATGAAGTTATCCTGACCTGGGAATGACGACTTTCGGGCAGCGCAGATGAAGGGCCTCCACGATCAGACCAGTGTGCATGTTGACGAGGAAGACGAAACGCCACGAAAAGTGCGTCAAATCCCCTTGAAGATCAACCAGATGTAGCAAGAGCTGAGTGCCATGACTGGGCTCGAAAACTGCATTAGCTCAAGGGTGAGGGCTTCTGCAAAGCTGAGCCGAATGAAAACTTGTCTAAAGCTGAGCCGAGTTCGATGGGCACAGCGCCGAAGCGCCAAAAGCACGTGCTTACTCCTAAGATTGCTCTCACAACACCACCCAGAGGATAGGATCGTTCTGTCTACAAGGTAGGTTGGCGCTGGGGTAGGTCGGGCTAATCGACCCCTAAACTACGGCAAACTCTTGAGAGTGTCAGCGCATGTGTCCAGGCCACGGATTGTTTTCTTCAGGTTGAACTGCCGCAGCACCAGCGGCCATCATAAAGCACCCGCCCGCCCGCCCCTGTTAGATTCACAGGCGTGAAAATGAGTGAATATTAGTTCCAGATGGCCTTCTGGGGCAGCTGTGGTTGGACGCCCAATGGCGGATACAGGGGGGGCTAGAATGCCTCAGACTTCGGTGAAGTCATTGCATATCTTGGCAGGCAAGCACCATGATTCTGCATTTGCATGCTGTCAGTCCGCTGGTTAATTAGGGTTATGGCAGACCTTGCAGCAATTTTTTCTCGCGGCTGCCTGCACATGCGCGGCATGCACATACCAGTCAAGGATTCGCATGCAGATGCACAGCATGAACGTACCGGTTCGGGAGTTTTTTCCAAGCGCTGGGGTTCGCAAATGAAAGCAAATCAACGAGCTTTTGCACTACTAAAACATAGAACCAATGATCCCCGACTAGCTGTATGAACCTTTGGCGCTTTTGATAGAATTTGATAGAGGTCTCGTGGCGGGCCAAGACCAGGACCTGCCGCAGGCGAGCTGCCGCTGGCAGGAGACTGAGAGGTTCTTTGCAGAAGGATGTTGGCTTGATCGTGCTTCCTATAGAACGACCCATCAAAATCAGACATGAGCTGGTGCCGAAGGTTTTGAAGCTTCTGTTTCGGCCGATGCTGCGAGAGCACCTTGGAATTGTACGAGGATGTGCTTCCTTTGCTGCTGGGATAATGCAAGTGCGCCTGCAGTGCGGCGACAATGTAGGGAAGTGAAGGTCTAGGTCAGCTTTCGTCTTATTAGCGAACTTGTCGTGATGCAAAGCTGTAGAAGTACGGTTCCCCGAAAGGCCATCAGCTTCCAGGCAGCCCGCCCCCTTCAGCGAGCCCGTCAAGACCTCAGCTTTGGAACAAGCCCCAAGCAGCAATCGACTTGAAGAGCCCCCTGAACCCCTAGAAAAATCTGCGCAACGAGAGCAGGCAGTGCGCAGATCAGAAAACTGTGAAGGAGCTGATGTGGTCTTCCAGCATGACTGAGCACAGCACCTGTTGCAACTTCGTGATTGTTCGGCTGGACTAGTTGCATCATGTTTGCATTTGAGGGTGTGTCTGAGCCCGAGACGTCCCTCAGCCTCACGGCCGTTGCTTTTCTAGCCCGCTGCTGAGGGAGAGCTTGCCTCGAGAATTTGTGTTTGGGCCCAGCCGGCACTGAGGTCACCGGCATTCTGCTGTCTTTGCCAAGTTCGTTTCCTGGTCTGTGGACAGTGTAGAAGCGCTGGAAAAGAATTGCGGGCTTTGCGAGTTCAGCGCAAGACTCGAGCTATCTTGCACACTGCTGTCCGGTTCTGGTTCAACTGCTGACGCTGGCTTGCATGATCATCAGAGTAGGCCTGCAGGTGCGATGACACAGCCATGGCTCCGGCTTCAGAATGAGTGCTCGGAGCATGCGAGGACACTGAAGGCATGGGTTGGACGTCGCCCAGCACATCTACCTTGACCAATGCAGCAACTACAGCAACCTGATGCTTTCGGAGTGCTTCCAGCACAGCTCTTTCCACGTCCGGGGCATCCGGGACAGTGGATCCAGGCGTTGCCAAATCAGCTTTTCAGGCCGGAGACGAGTGAGCATCACGAAATACCTTCATTCATCTGGCATGTTGTCATAGGTTGTTCCATTGCATGGCAGGTTTGCCAATCGGTGTGTCCAGTGCAAGCCATATGGCTCAAGCTTGCGCTGTAGTCTACAGTTCACCAGTCATGTGCTGGGCAGTCGCCCCGATGCACAAGTTCTAGAACCTTTGGCCTAACTTAGGCCTCAGCGCGTAGCCAATGTCCAACACCAAAGTCTTGGGCCCGAGCTCGCGCAGTCCCTCTCCAAGAAGCTCGACATCCTCAGCTTCCTCATTGGCATCGAAGGATTCCAAGGCACCTTCATTGCGCAGCACCGAGGGAGTCGGTGGAGGCAGCCCAACGGCAAAGTCTGGCCGTTCCACTTCTCCAGACAAGCCAAAATCACCCAAGGAAAGCAAAGGCGAAGCAAAGCAAAAGACTCCGGGAACAAGCAAGCCAGGGAAGAACAAGAGTGGAAAAGATGGCGAAGACTTCTTTGCGATGATCCCATGCGGGACTCCTTTCGCAAAGCTTCCGAGCCTGAAGGAATGTGCCAATGATCCCGAAGCTTTGAATGAGCTACTCATTCAGAAGCTCCAGCTTTGCTTCACAGTGTACGATTTTAGGAATGACAGAATGATGACCGAGAAGGAGGGCAAGCGCTACACGCTCCTGGAGATCACGCAATATTGGCCAGGCGAGAAGTCAGACGACAAGAAGTCGAAGAGCAACCCCAAGATCATC